CCAGCATACAGAAGTGTACACCTTGGAAATATTTATTTTTATTTGCAGTGCTGACATCAAACCCAGGGCCGGGCACTCAGGAGGCAAATTAAGTGCTCTACCATTTGGCTACACCTCGGCCCTGTACTTGCTGATTCTCTTTGGTCAGCATCAGGCCAGGTGTGCTCTGATATCAAGGAGGATGAGCTCTGAATGGTGGGAACAAGAGGAGGGGACATCCCAGCGGACATGAAGGACACAAAAGGGCCGTAAGAAAACACAGGGCTTGAAGAAAAAACCCAGGGTAGCAAATAGTCCACTAGTTTTAAATAAACTTTTATCTGATCTTACTTTACATTTATAGAAAAGCTTTGAATACAGAGTTCTCAAACACCAATGGTCTTCCACGTAGAATGGTTTGGTCGAGTTGTTTTTGGCTTTTTGGTGCTGTGAGAGTGTGGGCCTATAACCATTTTGCTGTTCACTTTTAACTCACTCAATTAGATGAATGATTCAACACTTGGTGATAAATTAGGCTTTGTAGTAGATGACTTTGCCCAATCGCAGGCCAACGTGTTCTGAGCATGCTGAAGACAGGCTGAGCAAAGCTACCACGTGAGGTAGGTTGGGTGCATTAGACACATTTGTGACGTAGGATGTGTTCAGCTTGTGATGGGTTTGTGTGCATGCAGCCCTAGCCTTGATCTCAGGGCTGAGATTGGAACTGTCAGCTTTCCTCACTATAAACTCACTCTTACCTTCTCTTAGGTGCACACAGAAGTCACTAAGCACAAATCCACTTCCTCGAGCAGGCAGTTCTATGTAACTTATTTTGAACCTTTCTGCATAGGAGATTTGTCCACATCTGCATCTATCTGCCTATGGATCCATATAATCATTTATTTATATGAGTATAGTTTTTTGCATATTTACTTCTTCTGATGGATTATATTTTAATACTGGATAACTGTTATAAAAACCTCATGAAAACTAATAGCCTGAGTTGTAGTTTTTATGAGAGTTTTGAGTAGTTCTGGACTCTGCAGATACAGCACAGGAGCAGAGAGAACACTGTCACGGACTATTGCCAACAGCTGGTACAGGCGTAAACCAAAGGCTTGTCATTACCTATGCAAAGTAGTTAAAATTGTGGCCAAGTAGACAGTTAAGTCTCAATGAAGCACTCGGAGTTGTGATCAACAAAAGCAGAATTCTTTCCAAATGATAGCTGTGTACATCTAAACACACACACGCAAGCTTTCAAGGACATTCAGTTGCCAGACTGAGTGGGGACCTTTGTTTCTTGCTTGGGGACTCTGATCTGTGTGCCATTTTGGACATGCTTTCCTTGGCCTGTTCTTGTGCATTTTCTCTGGCTCTCTTGGCTCTCTCTGACCTCCCATTTCCTTTGATGCCCATGCTGGCCTCTCTTCCAGAGGTTTCCATCGCCCTCAGATCCTGCCATCAGTTCCCTTCTGTACTTCAAATCTCTGCATCTACTGCCAAGCACGACACCCACGATAGGCAGCTCCATGGGGACAGTGCCCCTGGTGTCACCACACTGTGACCTCTGGAAGGAATGGCACATCTTTTATCTCCCTGGGCATCTTCAGCACAATGCCTGGCATAGATTAGCCACGGAATACATGGTGGTGGGATGACTGCATTCATCTTGCTTGGTTGGGACCACACCTTGATTTGCTGAAACCATTTCCCTGCTGAAAACCCAGCCCGATCCCCGAACGTAGTTCCCGGGGCAGCGGCGGTGTTCCCATTGCCTTTGCACGTGCACAGGGATTATGACTACTTCTCTCTCCTCCCACAGGAGGACAAGACACCTAGGGGTGTCTGTGTATTTCTGAGGCTTTCTCTGTCCCCTGCCGTACAGCTTCAGTCCGTCCAGCTTACTAACTCACCACCCACCCTGTCCTCTCAGTCCTTTCTGCGGTTCTAGGACCCGTCTTGCTGCAGTTTCATCTCCACGCTTGCTGCTTTCGTGGGCACAGCAGGCTCCTCACAGGTCAGCCTCGGCTCCTCCCCACCCTGGGGCTTGAGTCTGGAACAATGCCAGGTCCTTCTCCTCCACTCCTCCCCGCTCTCTGTTCTCCACCATTACCCATCTTCAAAGGCCACTGCAAAGGGCACATCTTCCCCATGCTCAGGGACCTTTGTTCATTGCCCTCCATGCTGCATGTCTGAGAGAGAACTTGCCACCCCATTTGCAATTACTTGTCCTCAAGGCTGTCTCAGCCACCTGACGCAGGGCTCCCTGGACCTTCCTCCTCTCTGTGCAGCCAGGGTCTGGGTGGGGTCAAGAGCATTCATTACACAAAGCAGAGTCACTCCTGTCACAAACACTGAGTCAAGGAGGAAAAGGGAACCAGTCAGTCATGGACACCTAGTTCAGGAATAAGTCACAGAACTGGGCCAACCAACCAGCCTGCCCTGTTTACAAGACGACTTTTACTCAGGAGCTGTCAAGGAAACTACCAAATATGACCTAAGACCACCTTTACATAGTGACTGCCCCCCGTGCCAATCAGAGCTTGTGGCCCCTCGAATACCCAAAAAGCCAAAGAGCTTCTTTCAGAATAACTTGTCTGCATTTCTCTGTCCTAATAAATCTCTTAACCTCTCTGTTCTCCAGACACATCACAAGCCACTTCTACTGGTGTATGTAAGTCCTAGATTGAAATCCGCTCTCTTTATTCCTAAACAAAAGTGTCTTTGCTGGAGATTGGCTATGTGTTTGTTCGAATTTGACAAGGGCACGATTTAACAGGACAAGGATAAGCACACATTCCTTCATAATGGGAGACAGGACTCGGAACGGGTCTTGATCCATGACTGGAAAGAAACAGAATACACTCAACCACCATCTTCAGTGGGCTGAAAAATCGTAACAACAAGCTGCCAACGCTTATTTAAAAAAATACAACACTCAAACTGAGAGTAATGATGTTCTTTAAAACTCATTGTCAATCTACTTTAAAACCAAAAGTGGGGAAAATATGTTTCCTACAGAATCAGAGCAAGAGTAGGAACGACTGAAAGCCAGGGTGTCCCTTGGCTGTGCTTTTGCTCATGAAAAAGCAGTTTTAAGACTGAGGGAGCAAGTTCCTCAGTTCGAGAGATGGGTCCTTTGCACACAGGAAGGGAAACGAGCGAGGCAAGCAGGAAGCACGAACTAAGATGTGTTACGTGTGCATAGCAACTCCCCGTGACACGTGTACACATTACACACTGCACACATGGACTCATAAAAATCAAAATTAAAAATTAAAAAACCCCAAATATAAAAAAGTAAACACACACACAAAAAAAACCCACAACATGACATTGATGGCTATTTCTTACCCAGATCTTTTCCCAGGAAAATTTGACTTTCGGCAAATACATTTAAAGAACACAGAATTGAAGTTTGTATTGGTGATTTCATAGGCAGGCATGGTGGAGCCTCTCTTCTTTTACTTTCTTGGTGGAGGAGGCAGGAGCAGAGAGGCCAGGAGAACGGGTGGGGAAGGATGGAGATGCCAGAGACGGGCTAATGGGGTGCACCAGACCAGGCTGTGTGGGGCACAGAGCAGTGACAAAGGGCTGGGCTCTGGAGTGTGGGCCTAGAGGACCAGTGTCATGGGAAAGCCATGGCCAAAGAACTCATGGCCATGTCTGGCCCCCAAGGCTCTGTTACCATTTCTTCTTTTTTGCTTCTGCTTCTCCCTCTTCTCTTTCCTCCTCTTTCTCCTTCTTTCCTTCCTCTTTCTTTGGCAAAGTGCAATCAGCCAGGAATCGCTCCTCTGCCCTGCACCACACCCTCCCTGCTCCAGCACAGCTACAAGACTGGCACAGCTGGTCACCACCCCAGGCCATCCCTGCCACTGCCCACTCCTGTGTAAGGAACATGCACAGAGGGAAACCAGTGTCTCTGTGCTCACCAGGGACTCCACACAGGACCTTTCCTTACATATGAGCTGTTCCCAGAGAGAAGTCAGACACCGTGAGAGAGCTGTGCTCCAGTGCACCAGCCTCCTGCCCTTCTGGAGCCTGCAGTTTGGACAGGGGTTCTTTGGGGACATCCAGAGTTGCCGGTGGATGGTTAGTGACCTTGTGCCTAAGCCTGGACAGCTCCCTGCTCTCACAGAGCTGCCGGCAAACCGGAACCTGCACCCCCGCAGCCGTCCACCAAGGACTGTCCATCTGTGAGCTTCAGAGTCCAGCAAATCCTCCTAAGGGAGCATTGGCCAACTGATGCCCTGTTTCAGCCTCAGCAGCAGCTGTGGGGTTTGATTTTTAAGAGGTGAAGCAGCCATGGAGACAACCAGGTCAGCGGTTTCTGGACTTTTGCTGCTGTCACTGCTGCTGGCAGTTCAAGGCAGCTCTCGCCGGTGGTTTAAGCTTCCCACAGTAAAACTGGTACCATCAGAAGCTGGCAGGGCACAGTGGGACAGCTGGTCCCCTGGCCTCAGGGACAGTGGCTGGGTAATCAGACAGGCGCTGCAGAGCCAGTGATCCTGTGATTAGGTCAGGAGCCAAGGGAATCTACTTCATTTTTAAATGTTTATTTTTCTAAGTACATGTTTGCAGTACATAGTGATTATACTCCTTGTGGGAAACTGGGACACATAAGTGACAAGTCCTAATTCTTTCCTATGTCCCCTTTCCTTCTGCTCCTGCTCCACACTCTCCACCTTTTGCTCCCTTTCTCTTTTGCTAGAGAAAAGAAAATCCACCTCCCTGTTTCCTCTTGTCAATCTTTTATTTATATTTTGGGGTTTTCATGTAAGAGAAACCATGTACTACTAAGCTTGCAAGTTTTACTTCTTTACTTCAGAATATGGTCCCAAGATGCGTCCCGACAAATGACTCCAGTCCATCCCTCTTTTTAGCAGAGTGGTGCTCCATTGTGTGTAAATACCACATTTTCTACATCTAGACTGCTCCCAAGGTTTAGCTATTATGAGTACTGCTGCTAGAATGGTTGGGGATGGATCGCTGTGATGTGATGTATTTAACTCTTTTAGGAAGACGCCTAGAAGGGTAGTAGTTGCGTTGCATGGGAAAGAAGAGGGAATTTAAGTGAAGACACTCCGCCTGCAGTAAGGCTGGTGAGTAGAAGGTAGAATTCCACCCTGGTGGAAGTCTTGTTTCCAAGGATATAAATATCCTCGGTGGTGCTTGGGGAATCTGTCCTTACTACACTGACGGGCTCTGTAGTATGTATAGAAGGCCCCAGGGACTTTTCCTCTCACTCTGGGAGACAGCTCTGGAAGCTGAGAGTAGGGTTCAGCTCCAGGGCTCAGATGCAGTGAGATCAGAAGGAGTTGCCGGAGCCTGGGGGGTGTGGCCCCCCTGCCATCCTGGCTGGCATCGCTCTTTCTGCTCGAATCCAAACAGGACTATTAACTCCTCTCCTGGCATGGAAGAGCTGCTGCTGCTAAATTTAGCTCTGGCTCTTGTTGAGCTCCCCCAGGGACAGGAGGCCCTACATCCAGGAGACAGCACAGGGAATTCCGTGTGTCTCTGGATCCGGCAGCAGGTTCTTTATTTCATTCTTGAGCCTTACTGATGGCTGAGTTGGAAAGAGGGCATCAGTTTATGCAGCGGGAGGTGGGGAGGGCTGTGTCAGGGACACACAGGTGACATGAGGACAAGACCACAGAGGATTCAGCAGGTTTTTCTTTTTCTTTTTTATAGAGAGGTGAGGCAAGGAAGGAGCGCGCTGCATGCACACTTGGCCTCCTCCCTCACTGATTCAGTCCCACCCACAGAGGACTCCATCCCACCCTCCGCCTGCCTGCTCCTCAGAGCCCAGCAAGGAGTTGCTGCCTCGGGCTGCATCCTGATGTCTCCTTCCTCTACCAAACCGCTTCAGGCTCGAGATGGTGTACAAAGCTCACAAGTTCTCCAGAGAGCCAGGTTATCAGGCATCTGGCTGATGAGAAAGAGATGACTCACTGCTGATGTCCTGAGCCTCACTGGCCTGTTTGCTTGTGACAAGTGGTTCGGTCATGTTCTGTACCTCTACCACAGCTCCTAGCACCTGACGCTGAGGTGGCCACCTCTGCCCCAGCCTCACTCTCTGCAGGGCAAACCTGTTTCGAGCAGGAACCAAATCCCACATTTATAGTGTTATTTCCAGGGCTTCGTGTAGACGGAACAGGAACTCAGGAAATGCACAAATTCCCGCTGGAGCCAAACAGCAGTGAACAGACTGCTGTGGGCTTACAGAGACCAGGGCTGGGAGGAAAAGAGTAGAAGTGGGGCCTTAGAAAATAGGAATGAGAATTTCCAAATTAACTGCGACCAGAATCAGGACTCCCAGTAACACTGTTATCCCAATGGGCAACTTTCAAGGTGTTTCTTCAGGAAAAATTTTTATTTTTTTTGTGTATGCTTCAATTGGAGTCTCATAAATATGCTTTTTCTCTACATCTAGATATTGCAAAAACCCGCTGAGCCCAAATCTAATTTTCATGCAGCAATAAATTATTAGGATTTCTTATACAGTGTCTCCATTAACAGTAATTCTATTTTTTTCTATTAAAGAAAAATATTTATTTTTTTTAGAAGTCAAGGTGATTTTCAAGCAAAGAAAAATGAATAAATGATCAGTTACAGAAACAACATAGGAAGTTTTCTATCTCCTGCAATTTATAAGTTGCTGGTTTACCATTGGTTCCATAATAACAACGAAATGCAAGCTGGGGACATTGCTTAGAGGTAAAGCTCATACCTATCATAAGCAAAGGGCCTGGGTTCAGTTCCCAGAAACCTCTGCCCTTTTCCTCTGCAAGGAAAAACATTGCAAGAAATAGTTCCTAAGCGCTTTGGCACCTTTGTACTATGAATCATATTTATAGTACAAAGGTGCCAAAATGTTATTAAATTTTTTTAAGGAATAAGATTGCAAAGTCAAGGGGCTGGGATATAGCTCAGTGGCACAGCATCTGCCTGGCAAGAGTGAGGTCATGAGTTTGATTCCTGGTGCCATATAAAATTTAAAAAATAAATAAAGTGAGGAAAAATTGCAAAGTCACAACTTTTTGGCTTATTTGTATTTGTAGGCCGGTAAACAAGAAAAACAACTAAACACACTTCCTCTATTTCCCATTACTCATTTCCAGTGTTAAGGCAGCCTATGCAAAATCCAGATTTTTGCTATGAGATACACATTTTTTATTTCTCAAGGATTTGCTATAACTTTCTAGCAAGAAGCTAGCAGTGGACGTTGTATTCTTGCAAAGGACTTTATGAACTCAAAGGCCAAAGTCTACCTGAGGGGGAGACTGAGCCCACTAACTGGGCAGCAGGTGTAAAGGAGGACACATCCGGTGTGAGTCATAAACGATGCCACAGTGGTAGCCGGAGGAATTCAGTACACTGGACACGAGGGAGGGATGCAGGGTGCACGCTAACTTACAAAGGAAGCCAAGAGAAGCCCTGGGGAAGGTGGATGTAAGGCTCTTAACAACAGGACCTGGTAGCCACTCTGACACGGTTTGCACTGCTTTCTCTAAGTCCCTTCCGCGCCCACCTGCAAGCCAAGGGATTCTCCAGAATAGCATTGTGTACTAGCATGCACAGGAGCTGCCTGTACAGTTTTAATCTTCCTGATAGGTATGTTTTTAAAAAGAGCAAAAAGAAGCAGTGATAACAATTTTAGTTGTACACTTAGCCCTGCATATCCAGGGGTTTCATAGCTGAGGGTTCAACCCACCACTGATAGGAAATATTAGAAAAAAGTACTGTGTCTGCACTGAATATTTAGAGACTTTTCTGCTGTTATTCCCTGAATACAGTACAGCAACTACTTATAATGTATTAGGTATTTTAAATTTTGAATACAGGAGGTGGTGTGGAGATTTTATGTACAAACTCTATAGAAGGGACTTCTGCACCAATGGATTTGGGCATCCTAGAACCCATGGATACCAAGGATGGCTGTACTATTTTATTTAATCCCATACATCAACATTACCAGTGGTGCATTTTGCATGTTTTCCATATGAAGTGCTCACAACCCCATGTGTACCCATCCTACCCTTTCAGCCCATGCCAGTGTAGCAGCAGTATCCCCAGCAGGGTCAGTGCTTCCTATTTTAGGGGGCTCAGGCAACACACTCTGCTCTTCACTGGGTGAGGGACCCAAGATGCGACCCCAAACCACTTAATGCCTTCAGATGCTGACAGCTTGCTTCATTTAACTCATTTAAATGAGAATCCTAAGCCAGGGAATTTACTGCCAGGTCCCTATACCCATGCCCAGCCCATGTCCAGAAATGTATCCTTCTGAATCAGATCTCTTGAGATAGCCTAGAAGTGTGTTCTTCAACAGCAAGGTAAAATGCTCTGGAAAACGTTTTTCTGATATTACTGTGTGTTCACGGCCACCCATCATCACAGGGGGGCAGCCACACAGGACGGGGTCCACCTTCCCCCACTCTCTTCCTTATAACGAACATGTTTAGTTCCAGACACCTTAATAAACAGATTTCTTTAACGATGTAGCAGTCCTTTTCTATTTTCTTTATCACTAAGAGATGGGATTTCACTCATAACATGCAACTCTGAGATCTCACAGGCACATATAAGCCCTTCAGTGTCACAAACAGGAGGAGCTTGTGGAGACTCCGAAATAAAGTGTTGGCGAAAATAAAGATGATCTATCACACAGACGTTTTTCCTAGACAGGTAGCTTTCCAGAATCTTTGAAAAGATTGCTCAGGGTGGAAGGGGGACCTCAAAATGTTCCAACAGGGCTGTTAATAAATATTTGTCATGACTTTTCTGGGGAAGACATCTATTCCTCACTCCCTGAGAGGTCCAGACAACAGTCAGCTGCCCTAACCAATCCAGACAAAATTGATTACTTTTCTGGCAAGGGGTGCAGATGAAATTCTCAAATGAATTGCCTGAGAAGTCAGTTTGACATAATATCCCATAAAATCTTTGCTGCTTGGAGTAGCTGCAGAAAGTTTCATTAACGCAGCACCTCATTCCCCTCCAATCCCTCACTCCAGCACCGTGATGGTTATAGCATCCAAGCCGAGGTGATTTACATGCAGGAAGCTGGCATCACTGCATCTCAGCTGCACAGGATGTAATTTTCAGTCTAGCCTGTACCTCTGCTACTTAAACTTTGCACTGCATTTAGAATGTGCAAAAGATCAAATCCAGGGCCTAAGCAACTTAACTGTATCTGCACTCACTTAGTTTCCTACAGAGGGAAGAGAATCTAGTTATACATGTTAGTGTGCTTGGGGGCCCTGAATTTAGACCAATGAAATCTCAACACACCAATGGCTACAGGAGCAGAGCCAGCCCTTCAGTTCTCTTTGCTCTCCACTCCATTTCTTCTAAGAGGTGGCCCTTGTCATGCCTCAAAATTCTGAAGACAGCTGATCTCTCGATCCACTCTCGTCCTACCCCAAGGACTTCAGTCCAGGAGAAAAGCCCACCTGGCCCGTGATTAGCAGAGCCTAGAGGAAGGAGGAGGAAGCTGGTGAAGGCACTCCGACCCAGTGAGGATCAGGGTCTTGCAGATTTAAGAGTCCTAAATGCCACATACGGTCCTGTCACCTCTTCAGTTTAGCAGGGGGCACTGCAGGTGGATGAGATGGCCTTCTGTTTGCCTTTCCCTCTCTGTTCTGCATGTGAAGGAAGGTGCCTGTATAGTTGAGACTGTGGATAACCTTGAAGACTTTCCAAGCCCAACACCATTGTTAAGAGCCCAGAGGTTTTACAGAGAAAGAAAAACGATGGAAGTCTGGGCTATAGAACAAACATGCTGGGGCTGGGGGTTTAGCTCAGCGGTACAAGTGCCTGCTTGGAAAGCACAAGGTCATGAGTTCGATCCCTGGTACCAAAAACAAACAAATAAAAAAACCACAAACAAACACAAAATATGCTAAAGAAGAAGAATTAGGTTTCCATATATACCTCTGCGTTAACACAAATTGTTTATTTTAAATAGGCTAGGCATTCTGCTCTTGTAAAAGGCCCTGAGGACTGAAGAAGAAGAGAGGAGGTACTGGTGAGGACCCAGGTTCTGAGAACACTTGTTGGGTCTAACAGCTCTGGCAGGGGTTTGGAACACGAGTGGATCTGAGTTCTCTCTTCCTGGCTCTGATATTAACTACCATAACTTCCTTGTGTCTTTTACAATGATGACAATAAAGGCAGCTCTAGCTTCTCCACAGGTTGTTGTTGAACACAACACGATATAACAATGAAAAGATGTTTTGAAAATAGTGCTTTACAAAAAAAATAGTGCTTTACAAACATAAATAAGGCAGTCAGCAAAGGCCGACTGGCTCTGCATGTTGCAACACATCTACTGCCTGCACCATAAAGTCTTTCCCACCATGCTCTGTGACCTTGGTCCGTGAGTTTCCTCTAGCACATTTTTGCACACTGCTACCCTGTTCAAACATCAGTTCTATGTGTGAATCTCATTTGCAGAATTGGGCAGCGGCAAACTGCTCTGCTGTTCTGCAACCTGACCCTGAGTTCCAAGAACTGAAGCATCTCTGTACTTCTTCCCAGCTTGAAAACTTTAATCTCATCTATGTGACCACGATTTCTAGCCAAGCATCTCTTATCCACTCTTTGGGCTGCTCTTTTAGCAGCTGTTTTGTTTTCTCATGCTCCTCTCCCCACCCTGGGAATAGCCATCATCCTCTAACACCGCGGACGGTGGCCCACTGGGGCCAAGGTGGGCAGCAGGAGAACAATGATTACCAAGACTCAGTGTGTGACTCACACTTGGTGGAGTGCTGGGGTACTGTGGCCAACACATTTGCAGGATTTGGAAATTCCACCCCAATCTCAATTCCATGGGTGCTGAGTCTGGCTAACCTTTCTACCAAAGCAATCCAAACCCTCTGACTCACTTGGGGAATCTGGCCTTCTTGGGTGTTTGATATCAAGACAACCTGCATATCAGTATAAGCACTGCCCACAGTGGTTATCCACTTAAACCCCTGGCTGTTTACAGATGAACTGATTTCTAAGCTTCTTCCACAAGGAGAGGTTATTCCATCTAGAGATTACTGAGAGAGATCTGCATGAAAAGTTCCAAGTAAGAACATTTGAGGTACAAACTTAATTTTGGTTTTGTACTTTAGAGAACCCTGATAACATTCATATTTCTAATTAGATGATACCTAATTGTTGTGTTAGTTACTTGAAAGGAATGGTACTATAACAAATGCTACCATTAACTTGCAGTGACAATCACAAAAGCATGACTACCCTTTCTAGCTTTATTCTTTCGATGTTAGCATTTACTTTTAAGGAGAAAACATAATAAAGACCAAACAGCAATAGAAATAAAAGTATGATGTCATAAGAATTTTGGTAAATGGCTCTTTTTTCTTTTCTGGTACTGAGGATTTAGCATAGGGCCATATCACACAGCTATATCTTCAGCCCTTTTCGATTTTGAGACAGGGTCTTGCTAAGTACCCCAGGCTGGTCTTGAACTCACAGACTTCCTGATTCAGCCTTCCTGGGATCATGGGTGTGCACCACTGTGCCTGCCATAAACAGGGATTTAAAAAACTAATTCTTTCACCTTTTTAGAATGCTGCCTACCTGGCCCCAAAGCCCATCACTGTGGCTCCCGTGGTTTTTCTGAGTCAGTTCAATTTGCTGGGCCACTGAATCATGAGTAGGACATGGAAATGTAAGCAGAGGGGCCATGTGGCTTCCTTAAACAAAGCTCATTCTGTGACACTGCCGAAATCTCTGGTGCAAAATGACCTATTAGCTGACCTACTAAGAGCAGATAGAGCAGGTCTCTCATACTCTGTTGTATTTAATAATTTTTTCTCAAACTTGCATCAATCACGAAACCAACTTTTAGGGAAAAAAATAATCAACCTCTGGGAAAATTTAGACTGTGATTAAATTTGAGTCTCAGATCATCATGCTCATTAGGGAGGCTACAAGGACAGCTGTCCCTCAGCACAATTTCAGGGTTCTGGGGACTCTTCTCCCAGTTCCCCACCCACACACACGTGTGGGAAGAGGTCAGGGTCACAGGAAGTGGGTTCTCCTCCATGGCAGTGGCGAACTTTGTGGGGTTGCTCCTTGGTGTTGCCACTTCTATTCGAAGCCACCATGACTCCTGTGTATAAACTGCTTATGGACAACAGCAAGGAGAAATCAATGCCATGAGCATGATCCAAATCGGCCCCAGGCTGTGGTCATCCTGAGCTTCCTAAGACATGGGAACTGTCTCGCTCCTGGCCAGGCTCATCCCTCTCTCATGGAGCTGGGGCTGGGGCTCCACCAATGAGCGTCTGCTTACCTTGGGGCAGGAAGCAGCTGCTGAGGGCATCAGAGTGGGAGAGGAGGAGTCCACAGTGCGGCTCTCTGCAGGGGGACTTGCTCCAAAACCTCTCTTCTGTCCTCCTTAAACTGTCCCCCTCGCATTCCTTACATGTCAGGTTAAGGCACTCCTTCAAGCCTCTACTTAGGGTACCAGTGATGAGGAAATAAACAGGGAGAAAAAGCAGGCCTCAACATCATCCCACGCTTTGATTCATGCCAGCTATTAAAAAAGAAGTTTGTTAGCTTCACTTATCCTGACAGAGTGGAACAGAACAGGAGGACAGGAGAATAAAGTGACAGGAACTAGAAAGTCCAGAGCCTGGGACAACATCCAGAAGAACACCCACAATGGTGCTCTGGAAGGTCAAAGTTTTGCCAGTCCTTGGAGGATGAGAAAGAGGGAGGCACAGAAGGGCAGATGGAAAGCCCCAAAGACAAGGTCTGTCTACTCTAGGCAGGCTCGGGCTGGCCTTGGTCTGGCCAGAGAAAGCACCTGGACCTCCCTGGAATAAGCATGAGGTGGCCCTGAGCACCCAGAACTGGGCGAGGGCGATCACTTTCAAACTGTCCACTCCCAGAGCTGGCCTGTGTCTGTCCCTAGGACAAAAGGACTCTGTGCTACTGAACAACAGCCTCTCCAGGGCCAGGGCACCAAACATGCTGGACTCTGGGGAGCTGCAGCCGGTGGGCTTGCAGAACTGCCAGGCAAAAGACAGCCCCAAGCTGAGGGCAAAGAAAGGATGTGTGAGTGCATGGTGTGCAGAGAAAGGTGTGCATGGAGTGACAGCGGGATGGGACGGATTCCCATTCCTTAGGTGCTCAGGCTCAGATCACAGATGATAATCAGTGCATCACTGAGGGGAAGTGGGGTCCTGTAGGCCTGCCCAAGCCTGGGAAGCAGAAAGAAGACAGCTCTAGCAGCGAATA